TGACAAATACAACATAATATTCCTTTAGAATTAGGTTAAATTCAGGCATACTCTTCACTAGATTAGAACAGAACATACTACACACACAACCTTGTGATTTCAATTGACTATAAATCCAGGGACATATTCCCTTTAAGTAAATTTCAGAGTGTAAAGGTCAGTATGTGGTTCCATAACCCTTTGCGGCAATAACCTCACAAAGCCCATGACCCATTGAGCTCAACCAACTCATCTGTAATCGTCTGAGATGCTTTGCTCCAGCCATTTTGTGGTCTTTTTTTATTCTTGGGCTGTTCTGACTTCAATTTCTTCTTCAGCATATAAAATACATGCTCAATTGGATTTAGACAAAATGTTTCATTAAGCTCTAGAATTCATTCTGCTGCTGCCATTATTGGTTAAATCACCAATAAAGACGAGTGGCCCAGTGGCAGAAGCAACCATGCATTCCCAGGCCATTATGTTATCTGTACTGTGTTTCAGAATTTCTAGTGAGTTACAGAGATGAGCCAGGGGTGTTTTGGAGCAAAGGTTTATGGACAGAGGAGACCCAGAAAGGAGACCCTATGCCAAAGGGACTGAAAAATTAAACTACAGAGAAAGACAGGAACTGGAGATACTCCAAAGAGCACCACCTCATCTATGAAACATCTCCTGGCCTGGGCAGGCTGCACTTTGCTACTGGGTTACTCATGTTTATTCATGACTAGATGTCACAAAGCCACAATACATACTTGGTCCTTTTCAGGCAGAGCAAATGTCTCTCACCTCCAAAGTGACAGGGCCATGCTGGTATTTTTTAATCCTAATGCTACTCTCCAGAATACAGAGTTTGGAATATTAAAGCTCTTAAACTCACCCGTCAATTTTCAAACCACTTCATTCGATTCAGGGGAACAAGAGCCTTGTCCAGCAAGAAAGAGCCACAAGGCAGGATACCCCCCCCCCAGACACCAGTCCATCTCAAAGCAGACACGCACGCACGCACGCACGCACGCACACACCAGGGCCATTTTTCTCAGAAACCAATCAACCGACAGTACTGGTATGTCTATGAACTGTGGGGGGAAACTGGAGAACAAGGAGGAAACTAACATGAACAAAGGGGGGACCTACAAACTCCACACAGATGGCATTCCATGTATAAAACTGACCTCAGTGCTCCAGCACTCTGAGGCAGGAATGCTAGCCACTTCGCCACCAAATGCTTTTAATATTATATTTAAAATTTTATAAAGAATGGTAATTTAACTTAATTGTCCATAGCAACCCCACTATCACATTGCAACAGTTCCTATCGGTATTTGCAAACACGCTGCCCATTATTCACCTGTTTACGCTATTTTACTACATACCGCCGTCGCTCTTAATCATTTTGGGATTTATTTTATGCACATTTTCATCTAAGCTGGACTTCTGCTCCAACTCCTTGCACTCTGCAAGGCTTGGGGAAGACAATAACTGAAGAACTGTTCTCATTTGACAGATCGAGAAAATCCCCTCGTGGCCAGGTGAAGATGAGAGCCTGCGAGGATAGCAAATGAGCGAGCAGAGTCGCCATCTTGACGAGGCTTGCAGGAAGGAGTTGGCAAGTTCCCCAACGCAGCAAGAGGACACTCGCTGAGAACACAAAGTGATGCCATGTGGCCTCATCCTCTTCCCCACACCGGGTGCTCGTGGCCTCTCCATATGTTTTTGTGTCTGTTTCAGAATGAGTTTCTAAGTTCCACAGCGACGACAACAGCCAAATGCAATCAACTGTCAGCTGTCAGTAATTTGTAATCATTCCTCATGTCATTTCCTCACATAAAAAAAAATATAAATACTATATATAAATACTTGTGATATCCAAAGCCTGCTACACATTTTATGTAACTGCTTATTTTTCCAAATACTGTATTACAGTTTGACTTCTCGCATGGTTCTCTTCCAAAAATCAATATTACAATCAAGAAAATGCCACCAGGTGAAGATGAACGTACTGAGGCTCTCTACGTTTTCACTGCAGCTCCTGAATTGGTAAGTAATCTCCAGCTGTGCAGAAAGTTAGCTCCAAGCGCAACGCTGGAGATAAGCCGATTCTCAGGCTCAGCAAGCACCTGAACATTAAAACCAGACGCTTGCACCAATCACTTCTATCAAACAGCTCAAAAGACCCACGTGAGGCACCGTATCAGCAGTAAATTAGGTTTGCACAAAGTCATAGTCACAAATGCCACATTTTGAGATCACGTCAGAAAGAACTTTTTAATTTGTGATAAAATACAGAAATAATTCAAGGGACAAACAAACCACATGTGACCCTATACTTATTCAAAACAAAAAATGATCAGATGTAGAAATGCAATTAGAAGCGCCGATTGAGCTACCAATTATTGCACAAAATTATTGAAGAGTTAAGACTTCAAAGTGTGCAATTCACAAACAAGTTATGAGCAGTGAGTGAAAAGGACAGTGGCATTGCAGTGCTACAATAGCTAGAAAAAACATAGATGCATTGACGCATTTTGGTTAATGCAGCAGTATACAGTATAAAACACGGGCTCCAGCCTTCGGTTCCCAGAGTCCAGATTCCAGCAGGTTTTCTTCATAAGACAGAAACCGCTCATCATCTGGGGGAAGTGATAAATTGATCCAGTTAAGGTTGAGCTGTACCTATTTATCACTTGTCCACAGCCTTCAACTCTTGACAATTTAAACAGACATAAAAAATCTGCTGGATTCTAGCCCCCAAGGGCTCTGATATAAAACATATTTAAAACTCTGTGGGAACACCTAACACCTATGATAAATGATGATTGTGCAACACAAAGCCAACAGGAACTGAACAGAGCATTGGAAAGACCCTTGCTGCAGGCATAGACCCCTAGAATGCGCAATAATATACATGTTGCTCAATTTGCTTATTTCAGTAATTAGCACTTTCACCTCTCCCGTCAGCCTCACCTTTGATGGTTTAATATTGTTCCCAATATCAAGAACATCTATATAGCAGCAGCCATCAACCAGAGTCCATTGCTCTTGAGTTGAATTTGCACCTGGGAAGTATGTGGTAGTTCTTAATTCATTGCAATTGGAGCTTAACTACAGTACTAATTAAGTACTGTCCATTCCAGAAGTCCTAAACTGGATAATTTGCATGTAGCCTACTAGCCTTTGTATGCCTCACTTGACTCAATGTAATTCGGCAAAATTGTTTTACTGTGCTTTGCCAACATTCCCTTCTATAAAATTTGCGTTAGTGTAATATTGGAGCCTTTCTGTTGCGGCAACACGAGTGCAACTGTATTGCAACGCTGTAACAGCATTTGCTACTGTAGTAACCCCACAATAACATTATGGTGGTTATAATATCTTTATCCAATGGCATTTTATATTGTTTTGACAATATCCTTAAAAGGTCTGCAAAAGTCATGTCTCAATTGAAGAACAGAAATGCTGGTCTGCCTTAGCAGGGCGTCTTCGTTTTTGGTTAGATAATCACTAACATCTACGCCCATCACAAGTTAACCTAATGTACTATAAGTACTGTAAATAGTATTAAAAATAGCTTAGGCATATTCATAAGCAATCAAATGTTTAACAATGATAATACACGGAAATTAATAAATTGTGCTTCCCAGGAAAACGACTGTATAATAAATTATGTACTAGCAATCACCAAATATAATTAAAAAATAAAAAATAATTATACTATGGTCCGACAAACTACCAAAAATATTTTATATTGATGTGGTCTCTTCATACACAAATGTCACATATTAATTCTGGGTGGGATAAGAAAATTAATTTCGATGACACTCACGAAACGCGGGGTTCGAAAGCTGTCCATATACAATATATGTGCACAGTATATGGTGATAGGTGTCCTTTCCTTCAGGTATTCTTTTAATAATCCAATATAAATTAAACCTATCATAAATGAGTGGAAAGAATTAAATGCTAAAGCAACATTTTATAGTTATTCAGTCCGTATTAAAATACAATTATTTTCTACGTTTTTTTAGCATAGAAATTATTTAGCTTAGCTATTGCAGTATTAGAGCAGATTGCTAAAGCGTTTTTGTCAGTCAGCTCATTGTAGCACCAAGGGACACAACAAAATTGCCCGTCTTTGAACTTGGTTTCTTGGGAACCACTGCTTATCCATAAAACATGCGTTACAAACGGAAATGTAATTAGTCTCTCCACTAAGAACATTAAATACCGGACCAATATACGTCCCTGTCATATTACACGTCTTGAGTCTCCGATGACATTTTCTTGGTTCCATGAACCTGCTGAACAAGATCAAGTCAAAGACAAAGAACTATCTTCTCGCTTGCTGTGGAGTAACTGCAGTTTTAGTAGAGAGCCGGCAATCTGGCAGCAGCTCAATTTAATTGCAATGACAATTATAAGAGTTTATGCTGTATATAACAACAATCCTGACAAGAAGAGAAACATTACCCATCTGCTGTTCTCAAAAAGATTAACGTTCATATATTATATACACTGAATTTCTGCTGGATACAACAAAATATATACACTTTACTTACAAATCCAGTAGCAAGCCGACGTCTACTTGTTGTACAAATATGATTCATGCCTTAATAATGTTACCGTTTTATCTTTATATATTTCTTTAACACATGCCTGAGCTGCCTTTTAATTTTTGTCGCTTTTGAAAGCTTGTGGTTAGAAAAACAGTACCCTGATTTAGATGATAATAATAAAGGAAAGGTTTTTTTTAATCACGTTTTAACTGCTTTGCCTTTTCTGCCCCGATTTTATCAATATATATATATTTACATATACAGTATATGCACTGTAAATATGTAAGTGCGGACAGTTTGAGAAAAACAATCAAAATGACAACAAGCCGCATTTTCAAGTACTTGTAAATAAACAGCTATATCGATATTAGATACCCCCTGCCTTTTTCCAGTTGTGGTTTATTCCAAAGTCAGTGTGTTAACAGCGCCTGGTCCGCATTTTCATACACCTGCGCTGCGGGAGCAGAGGCGAAGTGTTACATCCAGAAGGAATAGGGTGGACAGCCAACTGCTCTTCATTCTTGGCGTAATTTCGTCTTTACCTTGCTAAAGGTAAGCCTGAAAAAACATCTTAGGGACATTATTTTATGTTTAAGTATACAGAAGAGGAAAAACAATTTTTAAATGTTCTTTAGGTATACAGAGCGGTCTACAGCATACATTTGATTTACCTTTTATGGTTTTAAGTTGCAAAGTTGAAATCTATGTATGTTTGGAATTTTATAGTTCAATTTTTCTTTTTATATTTACCTTAGACAACAACATGTTTTAAGATCTTTCAGATTTCTTTCTTAAAAGTTTTTTTTTCCCCTCCCAAGCCTCTTGATAAATGGGAACAATAAAAGCAAATTGAAGAGTTGAGGTGGGATAACATCAGCGGTAGAATTTAGATTTCAGGAATACAGGAGAGCACACCACAGCTACTGAGTTTATTTAAAGTGAACCAAAACATGTGTTTGTTATTTCAACATGGCAATCAAACTGCGAATTGTCTTCGATATTTTAGAAAGAGAGTGTCTTTTATATTTCTAGTCAGAGACTACAGTACGTTCCGCAACATCTATAATGGGATTCACTTCCATCAAAACCATTAAAAGGTTTTTTTTTGTCCTAAAAAACATTATTTTTAGTTTTACTTGGATATTTGGAATGACATTTCTATTACTATTACCTTTACTATGAGAAAGCGTAGTTTAACACCTAAAGCAGTTATACAGTACGCACGGAGCGCAAGAACAGTAAATCTCTAAATCATGCAATGATGTGTGCTGGTGAAATACAGTAGACCGCTTTAACTTTGTTTTAGATTACCTTTCTCCAACTAATTTTGTGATTATTTTATCGAGATGACAATAAAAGATAGCTGTGCCTTACTTTGGTAGAAAGATTCTATATAATCTCCATCGAGCTCTAGAAATTAATCTTCTTAACTAATAATACATTTCCTTTCGCTAGTCTGTGTGCTACGACTTTTAATGACAGAACTTCCTTATTTTATGCTCTCAGATGTATAATTTTGTTTCAGATTGAGGACTTCTTTTATTCTGATAATGAACGAAACAGACCAGTTACAATATTTATCTGTGTAGATGAATGTCTTTCTACCATTGAGATATGGTAGGAATATGTACTGTACCAACGTAGATACCAACTCCTCTTAAACTGATAATCCGAGGGTTATTGCATTAAACAAGACGATGCCAAACAATAGTTTCACTTTGTGTGGTGTTTCTTTTGAGTGGGGTTTGAAATAGTTGATAAGGAGAGTTAATGGGACATCCCCACAAAAGTAAGATTATCAATGTGTGCGTGTACTGTACTCCTGTATGAGGGATTGGCTGGTTTGAGTGGGTTCATTATCATTAAAAATAAAGCACATTAAAATGGACATTCTTAAGGAAATTGGTTTATGGAAGGGACCCAAAGTCTTGACATACTGTATTTTTGGATACTATAAGTTAAAAATCAAATTGACTTTTCATTTACAATAGTAGGCCTATGAGACCTGGAAATTTCAAGTGGTTTTATTGTTCTAATGGATTATGTCCAGGAGTTTTGTTTATGTGTATCCTAACCTGGTGTGGTTAATTTGTTGCTTCTAAATACCACACAAATAATCTATAAAGAGTAAAACTAAAAAGATGTCTTCAGATGGCAATATTGTTTTTAACTTTTAACTGACTGTATCTCTTGCAGACACAATAATATTCTTGCCTTAGATTGATTTTATAGAGTTATCAAGATTCAATTCCATTGATCATGGATGTTAACAGATTTTGTACTTTTTACTCACTCAAATACAATACAATACAAAGCATTTAAAGGGAAGCACAGCTTATGTTTTTAATTACTGCAAGTACCTTGAGGTACATGTAAATTGAACTAATTGAAATTAAAATAATGTATTTAATCTTACATTAGGATAGAACTGTTTACTGTTCTTCTATGTGTTTCGGCATTCTCATTAATTGCTGTAGTAACAGGTTTACAGAACAGTTTTTACGGTCTGTCTGGAGTTCTGTCTTTGTGTGTCTGTGTTGGTCTCTGTTTGACTAAGAGATAGACTGCACTGCTCACAAGACAAAGAAGTTTGGTGGCTTTGTTTTCCAGTTTAGTGTGTTGCTTTGAGAAATTAACAGATGTTTGATTAAAGAAGAAGGAAAATCAACATGGAAGTGAATGATCACACTGTAATATGTTTGTGCAGCAATATTTTCCATATAAATATTGCTCACTGTACCAGCACCGAGGAGCTGAATTCATATCCAGAGCTGTGACATAAAGCATGTTCTATTGGCAAACAGTACCACATTGATCTGGGTAAACAGTCACGGAACTGTTACAAACAGAATTCTGCTCGACTGCTTCTTCATGCTGGCAGAATAAAAGACCAACCAATCTAAACAAAAAGAAAACTCCTGTTCACCACATAAATTAATTTCTTCTCTGTATCAACAGAGCTGTTTTTGAAAATGCGTTTCAGATCATTTCTGTTGTCATCTTTATGGCTTTCATTTATGAAAACATACTTTAATACATCCTAAATCACAGTCATTCTCAGTTTTGAGAATTTGGGGTCTTCTAGAGGAGAAGATTGTGACACAAACAGCATGATTTTAGTATACGAGTGTGAGAATGTAACAGAGTGACTTGGTCTATAACAAAATAGCAGACATGGTAAATGGATTGCTGTCTTATCCAATACGTTTGGACAGCAGTGGGATTACTAAATTCCCCATAATCCATTTCTGGAACAAATTTCCTATTATGTTTAGGTGGCACCTACCTAAGAGCCCAGAGTAACCAGACAAGATAAAAAAGATTGCTAAAAGCAAATAGAAAGAAATAAAATGTAGACCTTATTTTAGTGAAATGTCTTGAGTCATAGGTCAAAGAAGAGAAAAAAAGTTAAAAGGATACTATTTCATTTTCAGTTTCATCCCACACATTTTCTGTGAACTCTGCAGTTAAGTGGTTGGTTGAGAACAAATGTAGCCTTCTTCCACTTGTTGGACTTTTTTTTTCGGAAAGGCATTCCTAGTTTGGGTTGTGTTATTTCTTTAAAATGTGAACCAAGTCTAGTCCAGTTTAAATCTACTGACTGGAAATCAACACATTACACAGGTGTAGCTGTCTTTCAAGAAGATGAAGCAAGCTACTTTTCAGAAATGTGTGTGAATATAATATATGTTTATACTGTATATGCAGAATTGCATAACACACTGGGATATATTTATGCAGGGGACAATAAATAACATCAGTTTCACTGACTTTCAAATGGAACACTTCTGAACTTTAAACCTGATATCTCTTCTTTAGTAGCAGAATCATACCTTAATTATACATCTTTATATTCCGGATCTGTGAATTCATTATACCCCTAGCAGACTCCTTTGTGACCTTACTAATCAGCAATTCAATTGACAAGTAATTTACAAGTCCCTCAAAATGGCAGTGAGTCTTAATCTGTTTTTCACTTTCAGTTTCACAGTCAAATGCACTGGTGCTCAGAAGGAATGGTGATAAAAGTTTGAATAATGAGTCTGTGTACCTTCCCAGCCTCTTTGTATAAAAGATTAATCATTTCTCCACATTCTATGTGAAAGCAAATAATTTTAAATATCCTCCCATATACTGTATTTTCACACTAAAAGAAATACAAGGTTTCTTTGGGTCCTTAAATTAGAGGCTTTGGAAGTACTTGGAAATGAGTATTTTATTTTAGAGAGTTGAGGGTGCTTCAGTTTTGATGTAAATATATATGTAGGTTTTGTGCAAAGTACTGTGAAAGTATGAGTTTTGAGCTTGTAAGTATTATCAGTCACAGCCTCTGGCCGTGATGATGAACCTGTAGGGCACTGATACCTTGTGTCTGTGGAAGATGATGACATCTGAAAAAAGAAGGCAGGTTGGGTGTTTCTTTATGGAAATATAGGGAGGAATGTGAAAAATAAATCTCTTGCATAATCTTTTGGCAGTACCCACAAGAAGAAGGTTCATAAATAGCAGGCATCCGGGCATGGGCACTGTGTCAGTCTAAGGGTCTCGTGGGGACAACATGTGTCATTGTTGCATGTCTGTTAAGTGCTCTGTAGAGACGAGTTTATTTATTTTTGCTCTGTATCCACTGCCAGTCCCTTTGGGCCTCAAACATTTCAAGAACCCAGTTAAAAAAAAACATTTACCAGGAATTTTCCCTTTTCAGCCATCACGCATCATTGTGGGGGAACAGATCCTGATAGCTCATTGAGGATTTTGCAGCCAGCCACTGGAAGGGGCTGTATTGTAAACTTGTAAACTTGATGTTAATCTGATGAACTGAGTTGTTTACTTTATTGTCTCGTGCACATATTTATGTTTCACTGCATAGGCGAGTGCACTTTGGTGAATGAGACATTCAGACCTTAGGAAAATGAGATAGCTGACCTATGGAACTGTAATATCTAAAGACTGTAGAAATAGTACTGTCTGTAATAATCCCACAAATATTCTGAGAAATAGCCCATTGACTGTAGATAATACATTTAGACTTTCATAAATATGCCACAAGTGGTGTAGATTCATCAATGACACTTAATAGCTGCTACTGTAAGAACGTACAGACACAGCCAGGTTACATCAGTGCCATTTGATGGCTTGTTACTCATAGCAGCATTATGATCTTCTAGAGTGGTCTTGTCAGGTGTCAGTAGCTAAGCAAGGTTTTGCCTGGTGGGTATTTGGATTAGAGATGTCGGAGGTAAGTAAGGTTATGGTACTGTAAATGGTGATGGTGGCAGTAGGTGAGCCATGTATGGTGACAGGAAAGACTATTCCGAAGGAGATGGTGTCCTTAAAGTTCCTATAGCACTTTTCACAAGAATAGTGTTGTTAACCCCAGTATCCTGATTAAATTCCACTGTGGGCCTGAATTATCTGGTATACCTCAAATCTTGTATAAGTTCAATCAATAAAGCAATTTCTCACTTTTCTATCTGATCTGCTGTGTAATGATGGTGTAGAAGACAACCATACAGTAATACAGTCCATCATCCAGCTGGATCTTCATTCCA